AGAAATATCCACTATAAACTGAATAGAAGAAAGTAATTACGTTTGCTTCTACTGAACAGTGTTTAGATCGAAAAATTAATGTGTTCCAAAAGTATTGCTCTGGATATCATCGAAGTAATATCCCGCTTCTGAACTGTTTCCCTTCATATCTCTAATAATTTTCTTCTGCTATTTCCAACTGGAGGACGAATCCTTCATGCAAATAAGGGATTGCTAATGGGATTGCCACTTTCAACAGTTATAACCAACATATATATGGAGTGGTTTGAAACTCTGGACATTGAAAAAGCCCACAAGAAGTCCCGAGTCTGGTTGAGATACGTTGACGACACCTTCATAGTATGGAACCACGGGAATACAGAACTAGACACCTTTCTAAAGCACATCACTTGCGTAAGATCTTCAATCACCTTAACAATGGAGAAGGAAGAACACAACAAATTGCCATTCTCTAAAGTATTATTCCTGAAGTTCTAACTTCAAGCCACCGATATATTATAATGTATTGTGTCGCACTCAAAAATTTGCTCAATACTGTCTTCAACCTCCTCTACCGAATCACAAAACAAGCCTCCTTTGGAAATACCTACACGTGCATAGCCCTCAAATGGTGCTTCACGTTCGAAGCGTTCCTCTTCATCAAGTTCCTCAGCCCCTGGGCGTCCATCCTCTGCAGCCGGGCCTTGTTCCTGCTGCCCCTCAGCCGCGGGTGGATCCTCAGCCTCAGCCGCTTCGCCACCAACCTGGCGTGAGCGATATCCCGGGAAAAGGCGTGGAAGAACTGCGCCTCCACCACGTAATCACTCTCCGTGATCGTCATCGTGTGTATCAACAAAAAGAATTGGTCCATCTCAGATGAGGGCGACGGAGGTTCTGCCATGGCAAAAGTAGACGTTCCTCAGGAGGCGATTTCTTCTTTTGACGCCAGCTGTCCTTGCCTTCACGAGGCGAAACTTGATGTCATCTGAGGAGGATCGCTTGCGATACCAACATGTGAACGAGCTGCTGGAAATCCTGAAAGTTGGACGATACTGCGGGTGTTGTTGCATCAAAGAGACTTTCGACAATAAGCTCGACCATTCCTGTACCATCAGAGGGTTCATGTAATTCTGGCGCGATCACGAGTTCTCTAAACACTGCCGATGAATAATGCCATTCGCAACTTTTCTTCTGCTGTTTTTCGAGGAAAATCAAAAGGTGAATATTTGTTTCAGAGGCTCGCGATAGTTTTCGATATAGTTTCAATTGGACTCTCGTGCATTTGTTAGCTGATCGCGAACTGAAGTCAAAACTTTGGCGCTCGGTATAGTTTCGAAGATGCGGCCGTTCGGAAATTAAAAAGTCGACTTTTTCTGGAAGTCAGTTTCGGTAATGAAAACTCGAAAAGCGACCACTTCAATCGTTCCTATACAAACCGTTGAATTTCATCTAAATTACATCATAATTGAAACAAAACATTCATGATCCCAATTTTCTGGGCAGCGCTGTTTCGACCCGCCACAGGTCTCATCAGTGGTGCCAGGCTGAACCATAAATGCATTTCTGGACTCAACTGTAATTCTATTGATCCGGTACGAATGGGAATTTTCAGTTTTATAAGCGTTTTCTTTAGGTTTCAGGTTGAGTGATTCCCAATTTTGTGAAATAATAGCCGCTTTCTTTTGAGTTCCGTTTCCGATATGGTGGTGGACAAACGTGCCGATATGGTATGGACGGACCGTCCACAAAAAAGGTACGCGAACGCCATTGTTGGAGACGGAATTCATTTCGTGTTGAGAATGTCCGTCATTATATAACGAGCCAGCATCAATTAAATAATAATAGTGTTCACAAAAAGGGTTAAAATAAATAGAACTCCCATTCACGCCGGTTAGAGGCCGAGGTGGACCGGACGTCCACGTGGGAGTAGTATCTCAAAATCTTCATGAAGCAGACGATAGTTTATATCCAAGCATAGTAGACCCCATTTCGGACACAGGCTTGCAAGCTGCAAGACGGCCTTTGTCCCCCAACGAAGCATTTGTTATGGAACAGCCAGTTACGTAACAGGATGACCATTGGTCATATGCGCCTGAAGATAGGAAGCAACGACCATCCAAAATAGAGAGAGAGAGAGACGCTTTCTTTCGAACAGTGATCTCTGATTCATAAAACGTTTTGCTCATGAATCATATCCATTTGAATATGTATAGTCTTTCATAAGCGCTTTCTATCTTTGAATTTTAATAAAACAAAGTGCGTTTGAGATATCATCGATTTTTTTTATTCGTTTGAAGGACCTGTTGATGCCATTATGTGTGGAATATAACATTCTTCAAATGTTAATCAGGCTCAGATCGCACGATCTTGTTGGCCAGTTCACATCACCTCCACGTGCCCGTGATGTGGGCTACCTATTGGTCGCGTTCCCAGGTGGTGGATGGGGGAACGGCCAGGGGACCGGAGGCCCTGTCCGGAAAGCCAATGTGGCCTAACGGAAGGGGTCACCGGACTCCTGGTCAGTGGCAGAAATAAGTAGGGTGAGTGGAACTAAAACTCCCAAAAGCCTTTGCAAAACAAGCCACCGTGGACCAGCCTATCCAAGGTAAGGTGTGAGGAATCGACAGCTGAATGGCCGCAGGGTGATATGCGGTCACGAGCAATCCCCTTGAGGAACTGGGCCAAACCTCATTGTAATCAGCCTACCTCTGGTGATGCGGGGCTCTGCCAGAGGTGACCAACTCTTCCCTTGCTACACGTGGGGACACATATGAATGAAACAACAGAAACAACAAAAACAAAAATCAATCCCGAGGCTGGACAGAAGTGCTCACCTCAATTTGAAGTGGTGGCTGAGGATAAACAGAAATATCCACCCCAATCTACCGCTTGGAACGAAGCTGGATATAGCAGATCACCTCCAACAGCAGGGGCACTTTCTGCGACGGGCGCCCAGAGCTCTGCTTTGAATAAAGGCAAGGAATCGGCTGCCCCTGCAGGAAAGCTCCCCCACTTGTGCACCTCCACGGAGGGAACCCCAAGAAGGTTGAAGAAGCCGCGCAACGACAGTAATATCGTTGCACCTTCCAGAACCTTCGCGGAGGCTACCTCAAGGTTGTCTTGGCTTACACCTGCCAATATTGAGGAGATGTCTCTTAGTGACCTGTCCATCTTCCTGGAAAGGACAGAATGGACGATGACCTAGGAGGATAACTCCTCGGGAGGATGTACAATGGGTCACATGTGGCCTAAGTGCTGTAGGCCTACACTCACTCTCCCTACTCTACAGATACAGATCACCTCGACGTGAGATGACGATGCCCTAAAATCGCTCGTGCAGAATATACAATGTGACACGTAGCGCCATCCTGTTGAAACCACATGTCGCTAGTGTCCAGATCATAAAATTCAGGTCAAAAGAAGTTGGTAATCATCGACNGTCTAGAAATGAATACAGACGAAAAAATTTTACATATGGGAGTACATTTCTATCATGGATTATATAATAGAATACCTTACGGACGTGTCATCCGGCAGTTAAAAGGAACTATAAACATTTGACAATATTAGGATGATAACTGTGAAAACCGTGAAAACCAACCCACCTCAGGGGGCTCATAACAACCCTGCCCCAGCGAATCCGAGCTGTGATTTCTGTCCGACAAGGAAACGCAAGATACTGAGCTAATAATTGTAAAACAAAAACAAATTTTTCTTTACTTTTGATATCGATAATTGAAGGGTTTTCATTTTGATTTTGGTAGTTCTTTACTTTTCTCACGTATACCCAATACAGAACAAAAT